TAATTAAATAATATGATTTCTCTCTTAATATATAATTCATATAATATATTAATAAATCATAATTATTCTCTTTTTCCATAAATCATCTTATCAAGTTGCTTTGGTGAAGGCAACCCAAAAGGACCATGCTCGCAATCGGGTCAAGTACATACCAAAATAGTTATGGGCTTAGACACTAATCCAACAGAAATGACCCTTTTAACCCTGGCTAAAGTCCACCTCATGGTCAAAGTCAACTTCCCAGTTGACCGGACTCGCCGAGTTGGCTTGACAACTCGCCGAGTCCCAATCCTCTCATCTACCCCCAACCCGACTCTACTCGTCGAGTTTAGCAAGAACTCGACGAGTTCTCCTTCAATCATAACATCGAGACAATATTCATCTGACTCGCCGAGTTCTTCCTGAACTCGTCGAGTTTATCTTCATCTTAATAACGTGTCTAGTCTGTGACTCGCCGAGTTGTATGAACAACTCGTCGAGTCCGTCTTCATGAGTTGGGAGATGGCCTTGGACTCGCCGAGTACGTTCCTGCACTCGCCGAGTCCCATGGTTTCCAGATCCATGGATTTGTCCATTTCATTGAGTCCCTTCCCTGGACTCATCCAAATCCCTTCTGAACTAAAATGGGTTCCTCTGAGTCATAACAGTTTTGGGAACCAACTCACGACTCGCCTAGTCCATGCATGTCCAAGTCTAATAATTCGATTTCTGATGTGCAAAACTCATCCAGAAGGTAGATCTAGGCTCCTAAGATCGGTATAACACGTAAAGCCATGAACTTTACGTTCATGCATGAGACTTTTATGCTCAAAGGACCAAAAATGGGGTTTATTTCATTCTTGGGGTTCTCATGGCCATAAAGATGGCACCTTTATGCCATGAGGACCCTCCAATGTTCCAGATCTGTGTGTAAATCGACTTGGGATGTCCAAGTCCCAAGGATCAAACTCCTTGGACCCGAAACCTCATAAAGATGACCACAAGGAGATCTAAGAAACTACAAGTCAAGTATGAGGCTTGATTACCAGAAAGTGAAGAGAAGCTGATGTTGTTCCTGGATCTACAACCTTCTCTTGAAGTCCTCTTTCTTCCTCTTCTTCTCACAAGCTTCAAATACACCAAATAACTCTCAAAATCAGAAAGAAAGCTCAAGTTCACTTATGGAGGATTAGGGTTTCGGGATTACTGCTCTGGAGGTGATGGAGGCTGGACTAGAGGCCTATAATGTTGCTTAAATAGGGTGCAAAACCTAAATATTAGGGTTTCCCCCAGACTGGCCTACTCGTCGAGTCAATGCGTGGACTCGCAGAGTAGGTCACTTAAACCCGCGTCCAAACCTGACATCTACTCGACGAGTTAGGGCTACAACTCGTCGAGTAGATCTTATAAAATGACATTTAATGAATTAAATACGTACCAGAAACGGGTCGTTACAAGTTGGAAGGTAATTTCTTTTAAGATATAAATTGAGGAAATGACAGAGAATTCATAAACAGTAGGAAAATAAGAAACATATTATATTTAAAATTCGAAGTTTGTATCTAAACGACATAGTTTAATGTCAAAATGAGGTATTATTAGAAGTTCTACATCTAACCTTGCATACATGACAACCACATATTCACTTTTCCATATATATATATATATATATATATATATATATATATATATATATATATATATATATATATATATATATATATATATATATGAGATTAGCCACATAGGATAGAAAGTTCACTTATCTATTTGTTTGCTGTAAAGTCACACAAAAAAAGGTTATTACCCAATATAACAAGTCATTTACTACCTAGAGTCCTAGACTACTAAAATAAAGATAAATGACCATTTAAAACAAAATCAAATAATTTTTTGAGCCTGAACGACATTAACCTTTTAATTTAATCAGTTAGTTTATAATTTGTTATGTTTAATATAAATTATAAATAGTTTAGTTGAATTTATGATTATTTTAGTTTAATTAGTTTACTTTACTTATCATTAGTCATTTGCATGACATAATTATTAGCTCCAATTGTAATGCTAGTAACAGATAACCAAGAAAGTCGTATGTAGAATAGTTACTACTATTAGTTTGGTTGTTGGATCTTTGAAACATTATATACTTAAGGGATCAGGATGTTTTGTCTCACCGCTCTGTGTAAGTGATAAAGCTAATACAATTTACTAATTATAAATTAAACTAAACCATTAAAAAGAATAATTATAAGTTGATTAATAATAATGTAGTTTACTTTAAAATTATTATGTTTCATGTAAAAAAATATCAATGTTAAGCCTACTCAAATACAAGTAGGTAATGATGGACAACTTTGGTGTTACGATGATAATGCGGTACACTAATTATCTATGATAATAATATAGTACACTAATTATTTATGTAACAAGTCAATTATACAAGTCTCTTCATTGACATAGGTAGAATTACATGTTAAGTTGAGAGTAAATTAGATTTGTCGGTTTAAAAAATTAGATTTGACGGTTTAAAAAAAATTAAGATTTGATTTAATGAAAAAAGTTAAACGAATTCATGGGGATTTAAAAGAGTTCTTTTCTAGCTTTTTGGGTAGAGTCTTATTAACCGTTGATATTGAGACCGCTTCACATGACAACACTCAATCATTTATTTGCACCAAAGTTCATTGGATTGGTAACACAACATGGTTAATGCAAAAGTGACTTCTTGTTTTTGAAAATTTTGCTCACCCTCAGGGGTGAACAAATATAAAATATTTCAATTAGAATAACAAACACTTTTTATTTAAAAGATCAAAATATTTTCTATAACGCCTGACAATGCTAGTAATAATAATAATAACATATTGAATCGAGTGACTCCATGGGCGTAGCCAATATAGGGCAAGAGTGTGTGTTAAATAAAAGGAATTAGAGTTGTGATATGACCTATTCCATTCAAAACTTGAAATTAGTATATGGGGATGCATTGTTGTCCATGTCGATTGAACTTTATTTTAGATTATTTTAATGATGTAAGACAACATCGTTTGTAACTTAAATAAAAAATTTAGTTAAGAATGCGTATATAGTTACATTTTGTAAACGTTTGAAGAATTTTGACATTCATTCATATTTTGTATATTATTTGGCCTACTCTAAAATAAAATCATGGCTAGTGAAACGAGCTTTGAATCCAATATGAAAAAAATATATATAAAGGATGTTGTTGTTGTCATATTACAACTTGACTTTACAAAATGAGTCAGGGGCTGTTTGACGCACCTTCCAACTAGGTCCAATGCTTGGACTCGGTTAGAAATCTCCAGTCTGTACGTTTGTTTTCCTGCTACATCATTGGGCTCGGTCTATAAAATGCTGATTCGGTTCCCATTTTTCTGATGATTCGGTCCAAAGGAAAAACATGGCTAACTGGGGAGGAATGAAGAAAAAGACATGCTTTGCCCTCTATTGGCGACGCTCCTTCACCTCTCCTTGACGATGAATATTCTTCCTTCATTCATTCTTTTCTTGCGATGGATGAAGGATACTTTTTTTAATCTTCATAATTTTGTTTTATAACCATCAAAATCGTAACTTATCTCCCAGACCACCACAATCGATCCCAATTGATTTCTCCGATCATTTCATCATCTCCAAGCCAAGGTATGCTATATTAATATTTTGATCTCTGTAATTAGTTTTTTTTTTGTAATATGTCTTCGATTGTATCAGTGCTCTTGCGATTCAATTATATCAGTTATTGCTTGGTTAAAGGAGAAATTTGAACAAGTTATGACCAGGAATGATGTAAAAGCTATCAAAACTGTTAATTCATTGAATAAACATGTTTCTTTTTACTGAATTTGTTTGTTATTTTGATGTAATTTTTATAAATTGGAAGCCTGTAAACTATTTGATGTTTTGCTTTAACGAGATTATAATTGAACAAGCTACTGCAAGTGACCGAACGATATGTTAAATGGGATTTGATAATGAAATTCTAAGTGGAAAAAATAAAAATCAATGTTTTCGATGGATTTTGTCTATTGTTTACAACTATGGATGGATTTGGTTGGTCTTAAATTGCTGAAAGCTTTGTGTTAGAACAAGCTATTGTAGGTTGAATGTTTTTATAAAAAATGTTGTTGGAGGTAATATAGTCATTTTGTACAGTCAATCGTACAAAATCAAACAACAAGTTTCAGTCAAAAGTTAACTCAGTCAGAACTTCTAACTCAATCGGCTTCTAATCCAGTTAGCTCTAACCCAGTTAGCAACTATCAAACGACCCCTCAATTTAGAACATGACTCAATTTTAGAAACATACATTTTACAAATTGCTACAATTTGTCAACTATGTGAAAATAATTGAAGTTTGTTAGCGTTAAATGACATAATAAATTATATAGATAGAATTATATATATTATTCATAAGAAAATAAGTTCAAAAGAACCGTTGAAAAAAGAGATTTTGCCGGATATAGACATTGTGGGGGGTTAAATTTCAAAAAGTAGACACAAAAAATCAAATTTTCAGGTATAGACATGGATTCCGTGGATGTGAGCTCCGAGGGCTCCGCAGAATAAGTATAAGCTCCGAGGAATCGATGTGCCGCAAAAAAAATGAAGAACCATTTCGCGGAGCTACCTCCGAGGAATGAACTCATTCCTCAGAGGTAGCTCTGTGAAATGATTATTTATTTTATTTTTTTTTTTAAAATTTTTTAAACTTTTATTATTATTATTTTTTTTGCAACATCAATTCGTCGGAGCTTATATTCATTTTGCGGAGTCATCGGAGTTCATCTCCGCAAAATTCATATCTATACCTGAGAATTCGATTTTTATGTGTCTATATTTTAGAATTTAACCCAAAAAAAATATTTACATGCGACAAAAATCTTGAAAAAAATTAAAACAAAAACTATAAAATTACGAAGATGCGTTGTGATATTTATCTTTTTTCTAAAAATACAAAAAATACATATATATTTTTGGGTTGGTAAGATGTGAGCGGGTTTGGTGAGGAAATGACACTTTAAAAGCCGCCACCAAACTTCCCACCCCCAACACCAATGCCACCACCTCCTCCTCCAATTCACAATCTTCGATCTCCACGCTAGATTTAGTTCAACTCACCACGGCTATTGCCTGTTTCTTGTGTGCAAAACGCAGAAAGGGAGAATGTCGATTCACGTTAACAACATAGCTAATTTTACTTCCACACTCTCCAAAACCCACAACCCTTCTTCCAAATCATCACCATCACCATGTCCATTATCCTTTTTATCTTTTGGATCGAAATTCGAAAACCCGATGATGAAAATCGCTCTTCCGTCTAGTCAAAACCTCCGGAGAAACTCACTTACCATTTCAGCTTCTGTTGCCACTGCTGAGAAGCCTTCCACAGCACCGGAGGAGATTGTGTTGCAGCCCATTAAAGAGATATCTGGAACCGTTAATTTGCCCGGATCCAAGTCTCTTTCCAATCGGATTCTTCTCCTCGCTGCTCTTTCTGAGGTATCACAATCTCATTTGATTTGATTTTGTCAAAAGTACTTCAATCAAAATGCTTGTTAAGGTTAATGAATTAAGTTTTCAATTCAAATTTGATAAGTTATTTACTTAATATTGCTTAACTTAGATAATTATTTCATTGCAGCTACATTATAATGTAAAACAAGTGTAATAATTGTTTACTTGCAACAATTCATTATGTATTCTGCATTAAAAAGGTGCATGATTTGGTATCAAAATCGAAATTCAGCTCATCTTTTGCTATTGAGTCAGACTATACAATTTTGTTTGATATTTTGTAGATGTATTTCTACCATGAATACTTTTGCAATTGTGTATAAAGTTTGAACTTGTTGATCATTTGTTAGAAAACATGCTGGATTTGTTATTTTGGGGGTTTTGCATGTGCTTCTTACAGTCGATTTATTGCTACCTGAATAATCAAAATCAGTAACCCTATCTACCCCCCCCCCCCCCCCCCCCCCCCCCCCCCCCCCCCCGATATTTATCTACTTCTTGATGTGGGAAATGAAGAGGTAGAACATTAGTATCAGTGTATTCCATAAAATGGTTTTATTCACAATCTTTCAACTTTCTATTCTTCATATCATAAATTTTAGTGAAATATATTGGCAGGGGACTACTGTTGTGGACAACTTATTGAACAGTGATGATGTTCATTACATGTTGGGGGCTTTAAGAGCTCTAGGGTTACATGTTGAAGAAAATGGTGCACTTAAAAGGGCAATTGTGGAAGGTTGTGGTGGTGTGTTTCCAGTGGGTAGAGAATCCAAGGATGAAATCCAGCTTTTCCTTGGAAATGCAGGAACAGCTATGCGTCCATTGACTGCTGCAGTTACTGCTGCAGGGGGTAATTCAAGGTAAAATTATAATTAATCTTTTTCTAAAAATATCTAAACCTTTACCTATCAGTTCAAACAACTAATGATCAAAACGTAACATTGTTATCAAGTCTATAGAAATGGAATGAATTTTTCATCACTTTTTTATATCTTATATATGCATATACTACCCACATTCCTATTTACTTAACATGTATGATATGGATATTTTGTTCAGCTACATTCTAGATGGTGTTCCTCGAATGAGAGAGAGGCCAATTGGTGATTTAGTCACAGGTCTTAAACAACTTGGTGCAGATGTTGATTGTTTTCTAGGTACAGATTGCCCACCTGTTCGGGTAGTTGGAAGTGGAGGCCTTCCTGGTGGAAAGGTGAATCTCAAATGACCTTTATACCCCTTACACAACTAGAAACAACAGGTTGTAATGCGTTTGACATGCATTGGACTAGGACTGAGACTGACTGATTGAGACATGTGGGACCAAAGTTGCAGTTTTTTGTCTCACCCAAAAAGACACATAGTGACATGAAAGTTGAAACAAAACTTTATATATAATAAATAATTGGTAAAGGAATATAATTCTTCTAGCTTTTAGTGACTTTCTCTATTATTTATTTGCATTGCAGGTGAAATTGTCGGGATCTATTAGTAGTCAATACTTGACTGCTTTACTAATGGCAGCTCCCCTAGCACTAGGAGATGTAGAGATAGAAATTATAGATAAACTTATCTCTATACCTTATGTGGAAATGACACTTAAGTTGATGGAAAGATTTGGTGTTTCTGTACAACACAGTGACACATGGGACAGGTTCCATGTCCAAGGTGGTCAGAAGTACAAGTAAGACATTGTTTCATATTGACTTAATGAGTTAATCACTTAATCTTGACAACTACACAGACAGGGCTGTTTCTTTTTTACTTAATCTCGACAGAATGACTTAACGGGTTAAGCAAATAAACCTTGCTTCATGTATTGAGACATTAGTCTTTACCTATTTCTCATTCTTCCTCTCATATTAAAAATGATGGGTATTGTTAAAATTAATTAATATTATGAAGAAAAAAAAATCAGAATGTAAGGGTAAAATGGTCATTTAGTCTCATTCAGACTGTTTATTCAGTCTAGAAAAGAAACAAACCTTATGCATACTAACACTTTATCCAAGAATCCCCTTAGCCTCTCATTTAAAAAAAAAAAAACTTAAATTCACACTTTTCTTCAAATTGATAGGATTTTATAATAATAAATTTCTTCAGGTCGCCGGGAAATGCTTATGTGGAAGGTGATGCTTCAAGTGCTAGCTACTTTTTGGCGGGTGCCGCCATTACTGGCGGCACCATCACGGTGGAAGGCTGTGGGACCAGCAGTTTACAAGGTGATGTAAAGTTTGCTGAGGTTCTTGGACAAATGGGTGCTCAAGTGACGTGGACTGAGAATTCTGTTACAGTGAAGGGCCCACCAAGGGATCCTTCCGGAAGAAAACATTTGCGCCCTGTTGATGTAAACATGAACAAAATGCCTGATGTTGCCATGACTCTTGCGGTGGTTGCTCTGTACGCTGATGGGCCCACAGCCATTAGAGACGGTATGATTCCTGTAAATAAGTTTGAGTAAATTACAACTTTGGCCCTGCACTATGTCGAAAGTTATGGTTTTAGTCCGGCTGTTTCATTGATTTACATGTGTGATATTTGGTAGTGGCTAGCTGGAGGGTAAAAGAGACCGAAAGGATGATTGCCATTTGCACAGAACTAAGAAAGGTACAAGTTAATAAAATAAAAAGGATTTATCTACCCTTTATTGGTTTAATGCTGAAAAGACTGTTTTGCCCTTGGAACTTTTCAGTTGGGAGCAACAGTGGAAGAAGGACCTGATTATTGTATAATCACTCCACCAGAGAAATTAAATGTGACAGCGATTGATACATATGACGATCATAGAATGGCCATGGCTTTCTCACTTGCAGCATGTGCTGACGTGGCTGTAACCATTAAGGACCCTGGTTGCACCCGTAAGACCTTCCCTGACTACTTTGAAGTGCTTCAGAGGTTCGCTAAGCACTGAACCAAATCTCTTGACGACTTTACCCTTTGCTAGTGCTTTGGTTATACTACATGTTTGAGGCTATAATTGTCTTCTTCTTTATGAAATTTGTAGTTGTTTTTAGAGGACCACTACAAAGAATGTAGCAAATGTTTAAGCTGGATTTTGAAATGACTTGAATCGTATGCAAATTCTGTTAGCAAGATATGATGTTTGATGCATAATGTATGAGTTAAGTTTTTATAATAAATGTGAGTTGAATATAGCAAATGTTTTGTATAACTATTAGTTTAATGAGTTTTTGATTTTTTTTTTTTTTACGTTTGGAATGCAATTTATATAGCCACTAGACTAAATTAGTATTAGAGTGCTCTTAGTTGTTTGGATTTTGATTGTGTGCTTGATGTTGATGTTGATAGAGAAAACATGAGGAATCATATCACAACCAAGATATGCATTAGAACTTTCATGCTGATTTGGTGGAATATATCTATAAAAGTTAGCTATGTATCTTTGACAAGGACTCAAAGTGATGTATTTTTTTAATTAATATTATGTTTTAGTCTTGCTTTAATATTATTATGTAATTTATTTATTTATTTTTTTTAGTTTGAGTTGATGAAAAGTTTCAAATTTTATTATCTTTGAATTTACTTATAAATAAATTAAATTTCTTATAAGGACATCCTACTTACCCTATGTCCTTATTAGTTATTAGAATTAGGTATTGTTGTAACTTTGTGGAGTCTAATATCACCGACTTCCATGAATAGCTCATTTTTTTTGGACTGAACCAATGCATATAACATGTTCACGTGCTTTGTGTGTATTTTATTCTCATCGAGTCGTTGTTGTGTTTTTTTTTCTCTTTATTTTATTATTATTATTATTATTATTATTATTATTATTATTATTTTGCTTCTATTACATGCGTGACACCCGTACGTGTTCACTGATTCCTAACAGGTAAATTATATCAAACATGTACAACTTTTGTACTAAATTTTAAAAAAATTATAGCAAAAAACTTTTTATTCGAAAATATAGTTGAATATATTTTTGTGATGTTAACTAAAATCCGATTTTATTAAAAAACAATAATTTTAGAGCTTCTAAAGCTTTTAGTTATATTCATGCCTAAAATAATCATTTACAAAAATAGTTCAATTTTGTTTATAATCCAAAATGGTTTAAAACGTGAAATGGAGCTAAACTTACATTATAATTGTAGGTTCAATTTAGAAAATTCAAAACTATACGAGGAGAATTTCATTTGTCGTATAATGAAAGGAATATTTACACTGAAATGGAGCTATAAGTTGACATGCTATGCGATTAATATGTTCATTACTCAATTCTTCTAAAACAGAAACATAAAACAAACTTAAATTCACGAAAATGACCGTTTTGTATATTTAGATATTACAATTTGATCATCTTTAACAGAAAATGTCAAATGAACCATCATGAAACTTTCGGGAGTTTTAACTTCCAAAGTCCACAAGCAATGGTCTCTAGCACTTAAGGCTTCAGATTGGAAGTTGGAACTATCACACTTTTCACAGAACTTCATTTCGAACTCTCTCAAAGTCTAACATCTTCGGAGCCATCTAAAGATCTTCTACGTAACTCGTCAGAAAATGAAGCAACGGACAACTTGTCTACTACTACTTTAAGTATTCACATGTTTAAAGGTTTCCCAACTTATTATTTCTTTAAACGAGGATTTCGAATACGAAGAACATGTTGAAAACTTTTTCATGAGTTTCGAATTGTTCATCTTTGATCAAAACTCAAGTTTTTAGGCTATTTTGGTTTGTTTTGTGTATTAGTATCTTTCACGGTGTAGATTTATGTATAAGATGTTCGTACGTAGTTTATTTAGTTTAAAATATTTTTCAAACATGAAAAACCCATTCAAAACTCAATGAACTTCTTCGAATCTCATTGAGGTTCGAGACTAAGTAACTATGATTTGATTTGGAAGATTTGTGTATTAACATCTTTCTTAGTGTATAAGAAGTCATAAAGCTATTATAGGTACTTCATTTAACTTTACATTTTATTTCTACTATGTTTGAAACTAAGGAACTTGACGAAAATGTTGGAAACTCGTCCAAGTTCAAAACGCATAAGTACTTCATTTAGCTTTACATTTTATTTCCAATATGTTTAAAACTACGAAACATAATGAAAATGTTCAAAATTCATCCAAGTTCAAAACGTAGGTAGAGAAACATAGTTTTTTTTTTTTTTTTTAAATAGTTGTAGGTTTATTATAACATGGTTGTTTTTACAAGGTCATGTTGACTCCAAAATACAATATCATAGCCAAAAAGGTTGTAACATCCCGTTTAAATTAGAATAATTAAATAATAAACCCGGAGAAGTAATTTTATTATTATTTTATATTATTATAGCCCAAAAATCAAATAATAATTAGCGGAGTGTTGGTTTCGGGAAGCCAAATGACAAGAATTGAACCTCCGGGGGTTAAAGTGTAAGTTCAGGACTTATTTTGTAAGGATTTTAGAAGGCAGGGTGTAATTTGGTAACTTTTGGACTCATTCTGGAAGGATTTATGGGAACTGGGGTATAAAGGGTAAATTACGGACTTCATTTGAAAACAATTTTGTAGAGGAGGGGCCATTTGGTAACATTTGGACTTGAGTTGTAAGAAAAGAAGAGAATGAGGGACTATTTGCGTCATTATGGGGCGATCTTTATATGGGACGGGTATATAACCTAAAACCCGTCACCCTCTAAACCCTAACTCTAATCGGATGTTCAGCCGCCACCCTTCACCTCACTTCCCTCCAGCCGCCACTCTCATTCCTACTGTTTCCGACCACCGTCTCCTAGCCACCGGTGTCGGCAAGCGAAGCCAATCATCGGCGCAACCGCTGACAGCGAAGAAAAGCCACACACGACGTCAAACCAATGGGTCGCCAGAAAACCATGAGGCGAGGTTGCCGCTGTTGTCCGTTGCCATTGAAGTTGTGAACCTTTTGATGGGTTTTGTACAAACAATCCTATGTGTGCATGCAACCCTAGAATTGGATCTATGTTTTCACTATTAGATACACAACATTATGAACACTTGAAGAACCCTAAAAGGCTTCTAGGAATTTCGAAATCCACAAGGAAAGATGAAATACATACCTCTTGTTGTTATATTGTAATAACAACTTAAATCTTGAATCTTCTTGTCTTTGAAAGCAAGTACCACAAGTGTAGTACCTCTAATGGCTCACAAACACCAAGAGCAAATGGAGAGGTAATAGAGAGAGGGAAGAGGTGTGAAATTCGTCTCTAGGAACCCTAGACAAGGCATGGACGAATTTCATTAGCCAAGGGTCTTTATATAGGTGTAGGGATTAGGGTTTCAGTCCTTATCCTTATCTAGTTGCTTGCCCACCAAGCAATCATAAGATAAGCCTTGAAATCCCTTATCCTTTATCCTTTGGACGATTTCAAGGATCCTTATCTCCTTGAATTCGTTCAACCCATATTTAGGATAACCATTACCATATTTTGTAACTATCACATAATTACAATTCAGCCCCTCTAGTTTAATTAATTATACTTGATCACAAAATTAATTCTTAATTAATTATTGACCGATATTAATTAAACAAATATGATTTCTCCTTTAATATATTATTCTTATAACATATTAATAAATCATAATAACCTCTTTCTTTATTATTTCTCCAGTCAAGTTGCTTTGGTGAAGGCAACCCAAAAGGACCATGCACAATCGGGTCAAGTACTTACCAAATATGGTTACAGGCTTAGACACTAATCCAACAGTCTCCCACTTGGATAAGTCTAGTAACCACAAATGTAACTACAACTCGATTAGCAATCGTAGCTCTCAAAGACGCTATCAAACTCTGATCTTATCAGTAACCTGTCCTTTAGATAAGGGATCCTATATTCCTCCATTCTAGATATCGTATAGACGTGAGACATGGATTGAAATCATTCTCTCAATCTATGTGTTGTTTCCCGATTTCCGATTTACGATGACTGACTAATTGAACAAATCAAATTAGCCCTAGCCCGGCCGAGCATTTACGTTTGTCATCACTAAATCATCGAGGGGCCCACAAATATCGCTTTTATCCCACTTTGGATAAAAGGAACGGATAAACTTTGACTCAATGTTTGCTTGCACTCACTCACCAAATCACACACAACAATAAGTTTTATAACACCAAGTTACTGGTGCGTTTACATATTATCAATGTGTAACCGATTCGCAAGATACAACTCACACATCTCGGTTTCAAGAATACAAGATATTATCGTCTCACCAATCGCTCGTGATAAAATCCATGAAGCGATCCAAGTGAGCGTGGGTTTAATCCAATGCTCAAAATCATATTCATAAGCACTCATGAACGTTGCAGCAAACCTTTGTTATGTCTAATACACTTTAGACAATCTACAAACCAATTCATGACAGTCTTCATTCATACCTACTTCCAACATATGAACGCCTGCGGACCGTTTGAATAATTCGATTATTCTTAATAAACTCAATTATTCTGGAAGTCAAAACATGAAAAATGAAACGCAATAATAATATTAATCCTATATGGTCCCAAAACTTTTTGAGCGTAAATAAAAACACTTTTATTTAAACACCATATTGATTACTCATTATTCATTGCTTACTGTTTCAGAAAATCAACTTATTACTCGAATTATAACCACAATTGTCCCATGCTCCAAGCATACACACTTTGGTTTCCTATGGTCCATACTTTGTGAAATAGATCAATTGAAAACTTTTCCAATGAAACTCATTTCACAATCCCCAATCCTTATTATTAGTATAAGAATACCAAATTCGTGCCACTTTTAGAATATGTCAGATTCTAACATTTTATGCAATGATTCTTTCGTAATGTCATAGCACAAAAGTCATCAAGACCCTGCTAATGAAATTACAAGGTATTCTATCGGAAATTGTTACAAGACAATTCCATAGACGTGAAGTCTCACATTCAAAGTACATTCCTTTGAACATGCTTCTCGCATAAAAGTTTCTAATTTAGACATATTTCTTAATGTCCAACTCCCATTAATGGAAACATTTCCATATTTGCCATATGA